GTGGTGCCCTTGGATATGTATGATAGATAGGTTGTTAGATGTGGGGGGGGAGGGGTATGCATGTTGGACTGATACTAGCAAGTAATAAAGGGGGTGATTATTGAAGATTTGGCTAGCAGTATATATATGTAACAATTATCTTGTATTTACGGCTGTAATTATCTCCTTTTGAACAGTTTGCAGCTTTTCATCATTCTAGGCTATATTAGTGGGCTTACCTTATGGAACTTGCACTCATTGATTATTGATGACTAAGGCATTTAATAAGCATTTTGAAATATTCACTCTTTTTAGGATAAAAGTATAAAAGTACTTTTAAAAGTAATGACGTGTTAGCTTGAGTCATGGACCCAGTTTTGAATTTTAGAACTTTGACGCTTTCCACTTGTTCGACTGGTTCAAGTCTAAAAAGTCAAGTTGTTATAAAAAAATAAATGAAAGTTGAAAAGTATAGATTTTAAACCTTTTAAGGAAAAATTATATGAACCATATAATATCGACATAATTTATTAAAAAAAACACGATAACAAAAATTGTTTAAAAGAATTTGAACAAATGATAAAAATATAAACCACTACATTCTTATTTTTAAAAAGTAAATTATTATAGAAACTTGAACTACATAGTTATATTAAATAAGAAAGTACATAAAAGTGTAAAAATAAGAGAACAAAAAGGTCTTATTCTGCTGGTATCATAATGAAAAGAGGAACCAAAGAACTTAGATTTTAGCTCTTACTTTCTCAATGAGTTCTCTCCTGAGGATTTTCCCAGAAACTGACTTGGGGACACTGTTGATGAATGTCACTCTTCTTAGCCTCTTGTAAGGAGAAACCTGTTGCAGGAGAAACAAAGTTTCATTCCTGATGCATATCGAGCAATCTATCCGTGCTGCTGAAACTAACAGAACTTTCTTCTTAAGTGCCTTACCTGATCGGCCACAAATTTGAGGACGTCCTCTTCGGTCATAGAACTATTGGTAGATCGCACGACATACGCAATTGGAACTTCTCCAGCTTCATCGTCGGGGTAGCTGTTGATTCGGTTTTGATCGAATCAGTTACAAAGGAGTGAATGTCTCAAACACGAGTAACGAGTTTCATGAAAGCTTACGGGATGACAACAGCATCTAGTATCTCAGGGTGAGAGACCAACAGTGCTTCTAGCTCAGCTGGTGCAACCTGGAGATTCAGCAACAAAATTTGAGAGAGGAGGAGAGCTTAAGAATTTGATTTGAACTCAAAACAGCACTTGCTCGTACAAGAACGGCCGATATAGCACGATATCATTGGTAAGAAGTTACTGGATGCCAATGTTTCGACAGAGTTCCGAAAGCTAAAAGCTAAAAACTGCTGAGATTAGAGCTAAATATTACTAGACAAACAGATATGCACCTGAAAACCTTTGTACTTGATGAGTTCCTTAATTCTGTCGACAACATAAAGCTGACCATTTTCATCAAAGTATCCAAGGTCTCCAGTATGCACCCAGCCATATTTGTCAATAGTTTGCTTGGTGGCCTGTGGATTGTTTAAGTAACCTGCACATTGTTTCAAAATTCAATTTGAAAAACCGACTTGAATGGTAGGTACTAATAGTTACTCCCAACACACTAAAGATCACATTAACTCAGATCGTATTCGATTATGAAACAAAAACATTCTCTCCAAAGTATTGTATGAAAACCATAAATCAAGAGAAAGATAACCATATCTATATACCAAGCATCATATTCGGTCCCCGAACCAGTATCTCTCCATATTGATTAGGAGGAAGAGGCTTCAAAGTATCTACGCTGACTATTTGAGCCTCAACACCAGAGGCAAGTGTTCCAGCCGAACCTGTATTTCGTTTGCCAACTGCTCGATTCTCCAAAGAAACAACTCCACAAGTCTCAGTCATACCATAACCCTGAGAATAGCAATGAATTCAAGTTATTGCATTATAATCTTATAATCCACCTCTACAAGGTTATAAATCAAAGCCAAATGAAGTGAAAACATTTATAAGTTCCATTCAGAATTTAGAGTAGCCGATAATTAGGCTGAATGTATATGACTTTTAGAATAGGAAAAGCATTTTTAACCACATGAAGTAACTTTTAAAAATTTCATGGTTTTTATTGCATAGCCATAGATTTTGAGAATTCTATAAACACTTAGGGTCGGTATGTCTTTTGTAACGACGAAAGCTGATTTTACCAGTGTTCGGTAACCTAGTTAAACCTTCTTTTGAAATTGCTGAGATTACTTAAAATAGTGTTTTTCTATCTTCAAAAGTCACAGGTCATCTCTAACACATACATAAAAGTACTTTTTGGAGGCATTTAAAAGAAAAGTGTTTCACTACTGTTCTAAGTTCTAATTGTCCCAACTCCTCTGCACTTCAAACTCTGTTGGTTCTAAGTGAAAATATCATTTGATGTTCTTGATATAAGAAAGTGAAAGAATAAAAAAGCATCCAATAGATTATAGTAAACATAATTATAGAACACAATCGGCCTACTACAGGGTACCTGGAGAACCACAGCACTGGGAATGTTGTTAGCACATTCATCCATTAATTCCTTCCCAAGAGGTGCAGCCCCTGAACCGATATGCTTCAGGGATGAAAGGTTGTATTTCTTTACCACACTTTGCTTTGCCAAAGCAAGCACAACAGGCGGCACAACCCATAGATCTGTCACCTTGTACTTCTCCACTGCCCACAGGGCCTTCTCCAGGTTAAACTTTGGCATAGAGACAATGGTGTTTCCTCTCTGCAGCTGCGCACATGTTATACAAACCAATCCAAACACATGAAACATCGGCAAAAAGTTCAGATATGTGCCATTTTCGTCTCCATTAGTCTTCTGATCCAATGTTATCATCAGTGAAGATGTTATGAAGTTTCTGTGAGTCAGAACCACACCCTTACTGGCTCCTGTTGTTCCTGATGAATACAGAAGAGCAGCTGTATCACTCTGCTTCACCCCAACAATTGGGAATTCGGAGCCAGATTTATCGCCAGCCATGTTTATCAAATCATTGAAACATAAAATTTTGGAGGACTGGATTTCCAAAGGAATTTGCTTGTCTAGTAACACTGTTGGGATGTTTAGATCCTTCACTTTGTCCCACAATTCAACAACAGATATCATAAGTTTGGGCTTAGCATCTCTAACTTGCTTGCTTAACTCAGAGACCGTGTAAACAGGATTACAAGTGGTGACAATAGCCCCAATAGCAACAATTCCAATGAAACAAATGGAAAATTCAACAGAATTTGGAGCAAAAATCATCACCACGTCGTTTTTCTCGATACCCAATTGGAGCAAGCCATTGGAGATCTTAATTGCAGAGGCTTTAAGCTGGGAATACGACGCGGAATCAGAGGATTCCGCATCAACTATGGCGAGTCTGTTTGGATAAGACGATGAGTTTCGGAAAAGAAAAGAGGCCACCGACAAATTGGGATCTGTGGGAAAGACGATCGGAGGCCGTAAGGACCTGAAAATTCCATCGCGACCATATCCAGATTTCTCCATTGAATGAATCAAAATCACAGACGCAATTGCAAAGAGGTTTCAGATAAAGAAGTTGCACACAACCCGAAGCGGATTGGAGGGGAAATTACTATCAATATTTAAATAGAGAACGTAAGAATCCGAGTAGAAAAGAAGACAAGCAATTTAGAAGATACGATAAAACAGATTCAATTGCATCGTAACGGAAGAAACAGAAGTAGACTTCTATTAAGAGTGAGGAGACCACCTTAGTGTATGGTTGTTTGCAGGGTTAGGTAGGAAGAAAAAATGGCCACCATTAATGGCAGGAAGTGCGTAGAATTTGGGTCTTCGTCTTCACCTTGACTCAGAAAGCGAAGGAGATTTAAATTTTTGAGATACTGAAATCGTGAAAAAATTGCTTCCTCGTACATTAATTTTACTTTAAAAGAAATATTGGTTGAATATTATTATTTGTATTTTTATCAAATAGTTTAGATTCTTCAAAGATTATCATACAAAGCTATTCTCCACAATGGTACGATATTGCTATCTTTTAAAAGACATCTTATCAATCAAGTTTTTTAAGGAAGTGATCGTGGGTATTCTCTAAATTAGCCAATATTGCTAAATTAGTCTTTTGTTCCACATTTGAGTATTTCTAGGGAATGATCACGGTTTATAATCAACTAATACTTGTTGGATGATGAAAGTCCCGCTAATTTAGGGAATGATCATGGGTTTATAAGTGAGGAATACTAACTCCATTGGTATGAGGCCTTTTGGGGAAACTCAAAGCAAAACCATGAGAGCTTATGCTCAAAGTGGACAATATCATACCATTGTGGAGAGTCGTGTTCGTCTAACATGGTATCAGAGCCATGCCCTAAATTTAGCCGTGCCAAACAAAGGACTCCAAAAAGGAGTCAAGCCTCCTTGAAGGTACGAAGGCAGTCAAAAATGACTAAGACTCCAAAGGAGTCGAGCCTCGATTAAGGGGAGGCGTGCTGTCCCACATCGGCTAATTTAGGGAATGATCATGGGTTTATAAGTGAGGAATACTAACTCCATTGGTATGAGGCCTTTTGGGGAAACTCAAAGCAAAGCCATGAGAGCTTATGCTCAAAGTGGACAATATCATACCATTGTGGAGAGTCGTGTTCGTCTAACAAAGCAAACATATGACAGTTTATGCTTAAAATAGACAATATCATAACATTAAAACATTTGGGTAAATGGTGTTTATGAAATTTTTTAAAATTTAAAAATATTTTTTAAAACACCTTTAGAGTAGTAATTTTTTATCCCAAATTTACTTTTTTAGATTTTTTTAATATTTAAAGATATTATTAAAAATTTGAATATTTTTAAGAATATTTTGACATTTTTATTAATTTACGATTATTCTATATATTTTTTAAAAAGCCAATTACTGTTTTAATTTCTAATTGTGCTGTCCGCCCCATCCAAACGCTTCGCATATCCGAGTGATAGCACGGAGAACCAGAGTGAGCTCTGAAAAGGTAAGCAAAACCAATCAAATCCTCATGGCTTCATTATCAATGGCTACCATTTTACCCCGTCTATCTCGTTTGGGGTTTGCGTCGAGATTTTCTTTAAACCCATTATTTATGTTCCCCAAAAGTGGAAGAATCGAGGTTCAGATCAGCTGTTTTTTGTTGCTCTTTTCTTGGCCAAATGACCTACCCTTTCACTACCTTCCTTATTGAGTTCTTAAAATTGGTTTTTCTTGTAGAGATTGAATCGATTGAAACCCTTTTCGATGGCTTCGGCTCCTAAAGAATCTCCGGCAAACAATCCGGGACTTCACGCAACCCCCGACGATGCCACTAAAGGTTACATGATGCAACAGACTGTAAGATTGCTTCCGATTTTCTATAATACCCATTTCTGTGTTCAATATCCGGTTAATTTTGAATTTGGGCCACCTATAAATTACTCAAACTTGATTCCCCTCTATGAAATGCTCGGCAGATGTTTCGGATTAAGGATCCTAAAGCCAGTCTTGATTTCTATTCTCGAGTTCTGGGCATGTCGTAAGTTTCTTTTCATATATTTCTTGTTTTAGATGATTGTAAAATGAATGTCTGATTCTTCTGTGGAAAATTTTTGAGAGTATTATAAGTGAGCGTTTTGGTCTTCTTATTACTTGAAGTTGTATTAAGTTTTGAGTATGAAATGATTTCGATTGAACCTGTGCAATTCCGGTCAAATAAATTCGACCCCAGAAATTAATACACTGTTTTTAATAATGGTAGGTTACTCAAGAGGCTGGATTTTCCTGAAATGAAGTTTAGCTTGTACTTCTTGGGTTATGAGGTAATCTTTGTTAGCTATAATGATCTAGGAGCATTTATAACAGGTTTTTGATGTCGCTGTACATTGATTTGTATGTATAGGCAGATAGTTGCATTCTATACACAAAATCTAGATTTCATTACATCTCAGTTTCATATCTAGAACATTTTGATATGGTGCTTTAGGATGTTGCTTCTGCCCCAGACAACGCAGTTGATAGAACGGTCTGGACTTTTGGTCGGAAGGCTACAATTGAGTTAACACAGTGAGACTATACTTTCTATTTGCAGCTTTTCATTTTTGCGTCTTTCGAAGTGTGTCTTTTTCGATTAAAATTTGACAGTCACAATCTTCTTTCAGCAACTGGGGTACTGAAAGTGACCCTGAATTTAAAGGATATCATAATGGGAACTCGGATCCTCGTGGCTTTGGTATGTAACTTCCTTCCGATGCTTCTTTTCTTGCTAACTTTGTAGTTTTTTTTTTTGTTCTTATAATAAAATGAAGTAGACCTACTGATGCAAGAGGAATGCATTTGGTAAGGACATTTGTAACCGCCCAAGCCCACCACTAGCAGATATTGTCCTCGTTGGACTTTCCCTCCTGGGCTTCCCTTCAAGGTTTTTAAAACGCATCTACTAGGGAGAGGTTTTCATGCTCTTACAAGGAATGTTTCGTTCTCCTCTCCAACCGATGTGAGATCTCATAATCCACCCCCCTTGGGGGCCCAGTGTCGCACACCGCCCGGTGTCTGGCTCTGATACCATTTGTAACAGCCCAAGCCCACTGTTAGTAGATATTGTTCTTTTTGGGTTTTTCCTTTCGGGTTTTCCCTCAAGGTTTTTAAAACGCGTATACTAGGGAGAGGTTTCCACACTCTTACAAGGAATGCTTCGTTCCCCACTCCAACCGATGTAGAATCTTTTCATCTTTTTCTATTACAATTGGGAAAGAAGGAAGAGATTTGGATTTTCTCTTTTAATCTTGTTAGAGGTATTAAGACTGCTTAAAGCTACTGTCCAGACGAAGAATTTGGTCTTTTTGGGATTAAGACCTTCCCAAATCAGCAAAAGACTCACCTCTAGGATAGTTCTCTATGTAAGACTTTGAAGGCAAACCTTAGCAACTAAATAGATTTCACTTGATAAAACTTAATTTCGTATGGGAAGATGTAAAAGTGATGTTTAATTTGCGAGCCTCTGTGCCATGTCTTCCGCTCGGTACTGCTGTTGAGTCTTCAAACCTATTATTCTCCTAGAATTCCTGAATTTCCATGGGTTGCGTGTCATAATTTAGCATGCTTGATTTTATTTCATTGGTAGAATATGTTCACAACATTTGAATTTGCTTAAATTTTTAAATAAGATCAACACATAAGCGATTATATTTGAAGACAGCTATGATCAACTTCTTGTTGTGTTCGTGCCATAATTTCCGAATACGATAGGTTGCAATGTCATTGTTGTATCAAGTTTGTGTCTGTTTTTCTTAATTTGTTTTATTTTGGCCATATATTTAAAGTGACTCAGTGAGCTACAAGCGTAAATGTTTTATGCTGTATGATGAACTTCACACACAGAGTACATGGTTATAAGCTACATGTTACGATCTCATATACCTAGATTTTGTTTTAAAATTTCTTTCTTCTGACTTATACTCTATTTTTCTTTTCAGGACACATTGGTATAACTGTTGATGACACGTATAAGGCGTGCGAGAGATTTGAACGCCTAGGAGTGGAATTTGTTAAAAAACCAGATGACGGTAAGGGAGCTCGTAGTCGAACGCTGTCAAAATATTTAGTTACATGTTTTAGTGGTACAAATCTTCGTAACGTTTTATATTTACACCCCAAATGAAATGCAGTAACTTTAACATGTTCTAGATAGTAATTTTGAGATTGCTAACACTCCAAATGATAACCTGTCTTTTATATTACTTCTTTTCCAATTTATTGTAGGCAAGATGAAAGGTATCGCATTTATAAAGGATCCTGATGGCTACTGGATTGAAATCTTCGACCTCAAACTTATCGGAAACGTGACTACTAATGCTGCTTGAGATCATATGAACAAGTTTACGGTAAGTTAAGGGCGCGTCGTCTTGCTTAAACTCCGTGCATTTCTAGACCAAATAGATTTTAGGTACCATGATGTTGGTTTTGTTATTAGAAGCATGCAAATGGATGTGCAAGTGAACCCACAGGAGTTGGCTAGAGTAATTTGGTAGTGTTCTTTTGAAGGGACTGTTTTTCGATGCAGTACGATCTCGGTCGACATGTTTCGTTTCTGGTTTCTGGTTTCTCGGTCGGGCAAACTTTAGTCACATTCTTGCCCTGTTGGAAAGAATATACTGAACTTTGATCTATATGTTACATGAACTGGTATTTGTTCTAAAGCAAATTCTCAGGCTTTTATTCTCACTTTTGATTCCAATAAGTTCAATAAATTTTAGTAATAATTTAGTTTTTAACTTTATTTTATATGATTAGTATTTGTATTTAAATTTTAGTATATTAATTCCGATTGCAAAAAAATAAAATAAATAAATTGAATATTGAATTTCATTATTTAATAATTTAGATATTTAGTCTGCTTGGAATTACTTTTTTTAAGTGTTTTATAATATTTTATTCACTAAAAGTATTTTATACTTCGTGAACATTTATACTTCGTGAACAAGTCGGTCGCATAAATATGTGGGCGAGGAAGATCGTTGAAAACAAGTTGAAACAAAGTATTATGAAAGTCAATTGCTTTGAAGATATGTAGGCAAGAGATATTACAATACTTAGTCGGGGAGTTTGTTGACTACTTAGTCCCCCGTATTTATGTCTAGTTGGAGTAGATATACATAATTTCGTCTAACGATCATATAGACAAATATATATAATTGTAAAGTTATAAAATACGAAAGCAAATAAAAGGGTTTAGCAAGACATGTGGCCATATGCAACACGTTCTAAACAAGCATGATCGTGACACCAACCATTCTAAAAAAAAAACATAACAAATGAACTCGTCACATAAAACTAAATTTCAACCATACCCATTACTCATATTTGTTTGGCGTGGCTGTGAATCAGAACTAATCATAAGGTATATCATTCATCTTATTTGATTCAACTCAACTAAACTCAACTCGTGGCAACAAATTATATAGTCTCTCATTCAGACACTTTAGTATATAATAAATAGGTCATAAACACTTTATGATCTCTAAACTTTCATGCCCGTAACAATTTAAACTTCAATCATAAACACGATTAACGTCTGTTCTTCATGACTATAGAGAAAGTTATGAGATCGAGATCAAATTTAGAGTTAAAAACAAAAGGAAGCAAAAGGGGAAATGAATTGAAAAGGTCAAAAGCATCCCATCAAGCTCTTGAAAGTGTAGTGATTTTGCAGGCCCTGAAATGTCTCTTCAATAGCTCATAGCTCCACCAGTCGCCTATAAAACATCATGGCCCTCAAACCAATTTTGACTCCAAAATACAATACTTTAATTAACAACAACAACACCACTTCTAGTTTTCATCAAACACTATAGCTTTGAATTTTGAATCAAACTGCACCAGATAAGACCGTACCACAATTTCACATCATTAATTTCCCTTCATTAACAAACAAACTCCACAAAATCAAAGCAACCCTTCCTTTAAACATCCTCTTAATTCACTAGAACTTCATGAACTTTCCCTCCATGCATTGGAACAAGCTGGTGGTGCTATGAACATGATCATCTCCTCCTCCTCCTCCTCCTCCTCCTCCTCCATTAAAGCATATGTTGTTATGTTCTTCATCATTCATAGCATCATAATAATAATTGTAATTATGGGGTTGATTCTGAAACCCCATCATCATGATTCTTGAAGTGTTGTTGATTTGAGTGCAGCTTCTTCCATCTAGGGTTTGATTATGCTGATACATCAAGGAGCTCAACAAGCTGTTCATGTTGGATTCTTGTGTTGGGACAAGACAAGGGCTAATGTTGTCGTTGTCGTTTGACCAATTTGATGGGATTGAACTGAGTGGTTGAGCTGGAAATGATGAAACTTGATGATCATTATGATGAGAAGAATATGGCATTGTAGTAGGGATGATTTGAGGGTGTTTCTCCATTCCAATAAGTTTCTTCTTCAATTTGCTATTCCAATGATTCTTGATATCGTTATCCGTTCTTCCCGGTAACTGAGTAGCAATTATCGACCACCTACGAGTTTCTTTAGTTAAATCCAAACCCTAAACAAGATTCGAAAATCACCCCTCGACTTAAAAGCTTAACAAAAAATGCATGCAAAGAAATTACCTGCTTCCAATAGTGGAAAATAGGGTACAAATTATTCTATCTTCTTCCTCAGTGAAGCCTCCATGCTTAATGTTGGGCCTCAAATAGTTAAGCCATCTCAACCTACAACTCTTTCCACATCTCTTCAAACCTTCAAATACCCACAAACAGAAAGAGAAAACCCATCAAGAAAAACACAAAAAAACACTCAAAAACCCCACTTAGAGATTGAAAACCCTAAAAAAGAGTGATTTTTTACCAGCTTTTTGAGGGAGGGAGATCCAATTGCCACCAGTGCCATGGTTGTGAATGTAAGCCTTGAGCTTGGCATCCTCCTCAGGGGACCAAGGGCCCTTCTTCACATTGGCCTTATCACAACAAGGGGATCTTCCCATATCTGTGTGGAAGTGGTTGAAGAGAAGGAGAAGTGTTTTAGTGTGTAATAACAGGTAGGGAGAGATGGAAAGATGGTTTATAAAGAGCTCAAAAGTGAAACAGTAAGTGAAAATGAAAGACAAAGGTTGAAACAGTTCTCCAAGTCCTATGGGAGCAAGCTACCTAGACTGTCCAACTTCCCTTCCCTTCCCTTCTTCTTCTTGTGCTTATATATATCAAATTTGGCAGCCTTAAGTACACCAAACCCTTACTCTTTATCACTCTCTCTCCCCCCCCCCCCCCCC